TCAATCAATCAATCAATCAATCAATCAATCAATCAATCAATCAATCAATCAATCAATCAATCAATCAATCAATCAATCAATCAATCAATCAATCAATCAATCAATCAATCAAATCAATCAATCAATCAATCAATCAATCAATCAATCAATCAATCAATCAATCAATCAATCAATCAATCAATTTGTCAATCAATCAATCAAATCAATCAATCAATCAATCAAATCAATCAATCAATCCAATCCAATCCAATCCAATCCAATCCAATCCAATCCAATCCAATCCAATCCAATCCAATCCAATCCAATCCAATCCATCAATCAATCAATCATTCAAAACACATCAAATCAAATTAAAGCAAATCAAATCAACATGAATCAATCAATCAGTCAATCAATCAAGCAACCAACCAACCAATCCAATCCAATCCAATCCAATCAATCAATCAAGTCTACCCGTCCGTCTGTCTATCTGTCTACGTGTCTATCGGTTTCTACCGCTTTAAGGAACACAAGCCCCAGGAGCCTGCAGGGATGGTCCATTCAGGGTGCACATTGGGTGACCGTCAGGCTGGTTGATGTCATTTGGGTTTCCCGGAAAAGCCATGCGCGTCTCCCAACAGGGGACTAAGGCTACATCCGAAGCCTCGACTTGCCAAGATTTGGCATGGCTGGCCAAACCATGCCCTTTTCATCTACACAAATGGCTGTGGCCCCAAAAAAAGGTACCAAAATGGCTTGCCCTGGTATGGACCAAAACCTGCGGTTTACCCCTCCTGTTTAATTTTGAGCCACACCCAAATAGCCGCCAAGACCAAAGAACGAAGCACCTAAAAAACAGGCCATAGCAAAGTGAAGCATACACATGGGTTGCTTTCTTTTTGCTTGCCTGGCAAAGGGCAAAGACTGCAAAGCCAAGAAATGCTTGCCAGTTTATTTTTCTGTTGGCTCCAATGGAAAGCCAAAACGAGGCTAACTACAAAAGAGGTGCCCTCCTGCTTGGAGAGTCCGTGTCTTGGGACCGAGCCTGCTATGTTGGCTATCTGAGTCAACCGAGACTTTGCGATAAAGTGTTTCCAAGAACAGGTAAAGGACATGCACCGGCAAACCCTGTCAAAAAATGGACACGGGAGTCTTCTAAAGGAGGCACGTGCGTCTTGGCACCATGCCTTTTTGCTCAACCATTCCAAAGGCCCCTGCCTCTTGTACCAGGTGTCCTCTGACTGTCTCTCTCTCTCTATGATGCTTTGGCCTGCCGCAGAACGTATCAGATTGCAACCTACAATCCCAAAACAAGACTGCAGACTGATCTTAAAATGCGAGTTCGCAAGGCGCCCCCCGCCTCAGGAAAAAAACAAAAAAAAAACAAAAAACAAAAAACCGAAAAGGCGAGCACATGCAAACGCAAAGGAGTCGATCTTGATCACGCAAATTTAAGGCGTGTTCCCGTTTTTGCCCGCCCAAGCGCAATTTTTTCGCCCGCCCAACCCCGCCAGCCCTCTCAGTGGCTCCTGCCCTGGGGGCGAGGCTGTTTGACACCACCGAGTTGCACGACCTAGGGACAGTTGTGATGGGAGGTCCCCAGAGGAGTCCCAAAGAGGTCACCGGTAGAAAGGACAGACAGACACACAGACAGAACACCACGCAGACAGAACACCACGCAGACAGAACACAACACAACACAGCACAACACAACACAACACCGCACGCGCGCGCACGCGCGCGCACACACACACACACACGCACACGCACACGCACACGCACACGCGCACACGCGCACACGCGCACACGCGCACACGCACGCACGCACGCACGCACGCACGCACGCACGCAGGCACGCAGGCACGCAGGCACGCACGCACGCACGCACCCACCCACGCACGCACGCACCCACCCACACACACACACACACATTTCAGTGGAGCAGGGAAATGCTCCCACGGGTCAAACGTTTCGGGTTTCAAGCGGCACCTAAATATACAAATGGCTGTGAATACTAGTTTTCCTCTTGGCTTTATTTTAAAACCACCAAAAAAGAAATACCCTCCAAAAAGACTGGCCCATATTGCTTTACGGGGCGTCAAGTTGATGCGCGATCCTTTCGGCTCCCGGCCTGCGAGGCTCCAAAAGAAAATTCCTCAAACCAAAGGTACGGACCAAGACCTAGTCACTAAAACCAATCCGAAAGGAACCCCTTGGGGCCCCAGACCGATTTCTATTTACTTCAGGTCTTTGGTCGAGGCACTTTCGGGTCTTCGGGCAGCCGTGCCATCGAAGCGCTACTCTTTTCCCCTGTGTCCAGGGTTGGCCCATTTTAGAGCCTTTCCGGGCGAGTGTTTCGCCGCATCTCACAGTTGGACGCTTGGAAAGGTACCGAGTCTCCCTCTGCCGTTGCGTCCAGAGGGTACCGAGTTGCCCGAAGGTAACGAGGGAGCCTTTTTGGACCACTTGAAGAAGGGAACTCTCCAAACAGAAAGGGACTTTGAGGGACTCAGGTCTCCTGGCCCACATCAACCTGCCCTATTGAACGCCCAAGATCAACCCCTTCGACCTTGATCCATGTTTTGCCCTTCCTACAAATGCCATGGTCAAGCCCTTGTACTCCAACAAGCTCCCAGAACGCCTGAAATCGACAAGTTACTGTAATGGGCGGGGGTTGCCAAAAGTGGCCTCCGAACAGAAGAGTCAAAGCTCGATCTTCGGGTTTCCGCTGGTTTCCACGCCCGGATCACGCAGCCATGTCAAGAAGCGCCAACTTGTGTGAGACAAGCGGTGCATATGGTACATGAATTCGCCGCTTCTAGGCCTGGGGGGCTTTCCCCGCAGCGGTGACCGCCAATTCTTCCTAAGCTCCTCCGGTGCGACGCTGGCAGCAAACCAGGCATTGAACTCCATCAGAAGGCTGGGACCCCGAAAAAGCCCAAGACTCTTAGGGCCGGTCGCTTGTGGACTCGCATGGGTTCGGCCATGATTTCTGCAACTGGCGGCGGAAGCTCACTTCATGTAGCTTCTCAGCAGGTCAACAACCTGACAGCGATGACCGCTCACGCGAGATCTGAAGCCACAAGGGACACACAAAAATCACAAATTTATCCCAATGATAACAAGGCAAGCACCCCCCGTTTTCCCCATACCAAGCCCACTTCAGCCCTTGATGCTTTTTGCGCTTGGGTCTTGAAGGGAACCAGCTGTCACCTGGGATTTGGAGTGGGCGATCAACACCAAACCAAGTGTGGGGGTGCCGTTCCCTGACGATTTTTCTCTTGAAGTTGGAAGGTTCCCGAGCGTGCGTGCACGTCTGTGTGATTCCAGGCTGTATTTGTATCTGCCGCCCTTCCATCGCTGGAACGAGGGCTAATGAGTCTTGCAGCATCCTAAGCTCACTTTCTCGCGACGCCATGCAGCTCTCAACGGCAGTTAGCTATAAAACAAAACAAAAGTCACCAAGGGGGTACGTCCCCACTGTTGCGGAACGCATTATGTTTCTTTCCTACAAGAGGACCAAGGTAGGATCCTCCTCACATTCCCTCGCTGTCCCCTTGCACTCCTGACACGCGCCTTGCTGTTGAGGGTGCCCTCTGCATGGTCAATGGCCTTCTGCCCGTTTTCGTCCTGAGGCAAGCCAAACATCCTCCATTCGGCATATAAAGGAAACCAGGATCGGAATGCATCAAACCTTTTTGCCACACCCTTGATTCAAAGTAGCCTTGAGCCTCCCCGTCTCTGTGGTTCCCCTCGTGTCGGGAGTGAGGGTGCGCGTTTGTATCTGGCAAGGTCATTGCTACCTGCAAACCTGCCACACCAAGGTGTCCTTTGATGGCCTCATGTCTATGGTCCCAAAAAAATAAACACCATTTCGGAAAGCTGCGTTCAACGGGTGCGCGAATTTGCTGTGACACATTGTGTCACATGCCCCTCAGAGCAAAGTGCATTTCTGAAATCGTTGGGATTTTATGGGCTCGACGCATACTCAAATGATGAACACGGGCTCCCAAGGCTCGCAGATGGAAGTCGACACCGTTCACACTTGGCATCGAGAAAATGCCCGCACGCCCCCACGGACAACTAGAAAACAAAGGGTGTGTCTTGCAGGGGCAAGAGGGGCAAAACGAGACTTTCCCCTACTAGTTTAGCCACCTCGGTTTCACAATTGGCCAAACATGGTCAGCACTGATTCCTTTGTTTCATCAATCAGGAACCCTTTTGACCTCTCTAGAACAAACTGGTGCAAATGAGGCTGACCTGCTTTGAACGTCCACGGCTGCCCCCTCCCTCCCCCCCCCGTTCCAGACCCCGAACTCCCTCAAACCAACTCGTCCTGGGGGTTCATGTCCGCTCCAGCCTGTCGACTTTGGCGCTCGTAAATTGTGTTGGAACGAATGCCACGAATCGTAGGACACGACAATGCGAATAGGTGATTTTATCATTCATCCTTATTGAAGGCAAAAAGGAGGCCTTGACGATTGGACTGGATTTCGGATGTGTTCGTCTTGGTTTCTCTTTTGCTTCCCGTGCAACCCAACCACACAGAACGTTAGTCTCTGTTCAATGGCGAAGGTGGTTGCAAGGTCGTCGCGGCCGCCACCGTTGAAGACTGAAAAATGGGCGCCCTCTGCATGCTGGTCAAGGCCACTTCATTTGCAAACAAAACATGGTGTCAGGAACAGCGGGTGGATCCTTCACAAGATGCAACATAGAAAGTCCCAAGAAAACAAATAACCACGTTCGAAAGGATGAACAGATTGAATTAGGAAAGCAAACTAGCAGGGATGCGGGGGGTCAGGGAGTTGCGAAAACCCCGAAGCAGGCTAGCGAAAATGGCTTGCGAGCAACCCCCCCCCTGCTTCCCCCAGTCCCCCGTGAAAAAAACAACAAATACCTATAAGTTGCAGGTGTTGCCCACGAACAAAGACGCTCCTGCCCTTGCTTTTCGCGAAGCCATCATCCGTTGGCACTAGGAAATCATTGACTGGGACCACTGGAATCCAGTTGATCCAACAGAACTACGGATCCGACATCTTGTAGAACATGGCCAAGAAGGCGATGTCCATCCACACCTTCAATGGTTCAGAAAGGCCCCCTTTTGTTGGGCCGGTTGAGTTTTGAGAGGCGGAACTTCTCCAACAAAGGGAGGTCTCTGGGTCCAAAACAGTTCCAAAGGCCCGAGGTAGCAGCGATGGCGCCTGCAGCAGGAGCTTGACGCAATCCAGCTGCTGCTGCATGGCCGCCCACATCAATGGCGTCTCCCCCCGCTTGTTGTGGGCCTCATCGCGTCTCGGCGCGCCCGTGCAGGCGGAGCGCGGCGAAGTGGAGAAGGGAGCAAAGGAGCACAGGAGTTTGATAGGGCCGGGCCTTGAGCTTGGCTTTCGGAGAAAACACTCTTCAAGCTTTTCGGAACTCGACGGCCTTGGGATCACTTTGGCCATGGATCAGGCTGTCCCATGTGAATAGAGAACCTGAACATTAGACATGTGACCTGCTCACTCCCGGAGCCCCGGAGCCTCCACACACCCGGCACAAAACTGCAAAAGGCCTTTAGGTCTTGGATCTCAAAACGAAAAAAGGCCCTGACGGGGTGCCAGTTTGGGGTAACTGAACTTATGAAAGATCAGCCACAAGCAATATCCTACGCAGATGGACCCAAATGGACGTTATCATGCGGTTGATCTAAGTAACTCCATTCGCTCGGTGGGTCTTTTTGTTGGGCCTACCCCTTTTTGGGGGGTGAGAGAACCCCTGTATTTATGTTTTATGCTCTTATGTATTACTATTATTATTATTATTCTTTGGGGGGGGGGGGAGGGTGAGAGAGACATTTTGCCTCGCCTCAACGGAGCAACGATGCTGCATGAGAAGCGTCACCAGGTCCTTGCCGGGCTGAAACGGAGGTGAGCATGTGTGCTTTTTCAGCTTGGCTTCAGATCATTCCCCAAAACCGCTCCTGGCCAAAATGCATTTAGCTACTTGCTTTCCTGCTGCGTTCCCATCAAAACCAACCCAAAGAGCTTCCCCCAAGCAAAAGCAAATCCTCTGGGGGCAGGAGATGAAGCGAATGAGACAGACGGTGCCGCTGCACAAGCGTTGAAGGCGAACGTGCAAACACACGTCCTCCGTCCGCCCACCAATTTGGAGCTATAGCAGGACAGGGGCAAACATAGCAACCGAGTAGTGACGCTGGGCCAGTCAGCACCATATTCGGGCCATATTCTCACGGCGAATCAAACATATTTGAGGGGTCGCACTCTCTCTCTCTCTCTCACAAAAAAAAATCGGTACCTTCTTCAGGCCAGCTTTCCGTTTTTTTTCGTGTTTGTTTTCTTGCCTTCTCCCGGGCGCGCGCAAATCTCTCCTGGCTGCCGCTTTGGATGGCCCCGAAGAGCGCATTGAAGCCCTCCGAGTCCTGGCACCAGCTGACTGAGGTCTCTGCCATCGGCTGGACCGCTTGCGGCATGCAGGCGATGCAGGGAGGGTGCGGGGTAGGTTTGGGGTAGGTCCTGGGACCGGGACCACTTGGGCTTGTTTTCAGGCCCGCCCGATACCCTTTTCGAGGTTGTTGTTTTTTACGAAAAAAAGAAGACGACGGGGAAACCGAAGCCCATTTTGGGGCGTTATGGAGCTTGAGACAAGCCCAACCCGAGGCATGGCAAAGGACCAAGGGACGGTGACTCACTGAGCACCCCCCTTTTTTTCTGGCCTTGTACGAGCATCAAGCGCTTGCTCTCGTGTCATTGAGAGCACTTTGCTTTGCACTTTGCTTTGCACTTTGCTTTGCACTTTGCTTTGCACTTTGCTTTGCACTTTGCTTTGCACCCTGGTGCAAGTTTAAGAGAATCTAGGTCCTCCAGTAGAGAATAGTAGAGAGCTTAGAATAAGGGTACCCTTTTTTCTATAGTCTCTTTCAGCAGGGGAACCCTCCCAACCAAAAAAGAAACGGCTCAAGGGCACCTAGCTGGGGGACCTAGCAGTTCACTCGAGGTGCAGTGAGAAGCCTTGGACGCGCTTCGCCCGCCTGGTGCTCCACCTTCGCGCGGGCAGCCAGCAGGTCCTGGGCGGTATGAGCCCTCGGACATGCACCCAGCCAGGAAGAGAAACCAAAGAAACCAAAGGAAGCCAACCCTTAAGGGGGGGCCAGTTTTGGACTCATTGCCCATCTGTACTCGGATCTTCAGTCAGGTCGGGGGCTTTAGGTTGCAACCAAGGTAAGGGAAGTAACCAAGAATTTACCCCAAGAACAACCAGGCCGAACGTAGATAGGTGATTTCCGTTTAGGGTGATGAGAAAAGGGGATGATTAAAATCCAAAATGTGGACAACTGTGCAATTTACTTTCGCGCCACTGTACAGGTCAGCATTTGCATAGGGGAAGACAAAGGCCTCAAACCCCAAACCCACCCAGACTTTCAAATTTCTACAGGAACTTCTCGAAAAGGGCTTCCTAGATTGGGGTCTGAGAACCCTTCTGAGATTCTGCTGGGGGGTCCTATGGGTGGAACTCAAAAAGGTGACAGAAGAATGGTTGGGGCAAAGAAAGGGTTGACTTCAAGTGGCTTGGGTTCCGGTAGAAGGGATACCCGGTTTTTCAAGGGGATCCTCTGAATATGTTCTGACTGGTTCCTCAAATACATCCGTTAAAACCGCGTGTTCTACGGGCATCCCCTGCATCAGCTGGGGAAAAATGTGATTTTCTGACTAGCCCAAATGCAGCCTCAATGGGAGCCCCCTGTCCCGAAAACGCCTCGGCTTCAAGCGGCTTGGATTCGATTCGTTGCCCGGAATTGCTCGCCTATTCATTGAGGTCATCTGGCTGTGGTGGTCAAAAATGCGGTAACCCCAAAATGGCTTGCCCTGGTAGAGGGAAGGACTAAAACCTGTGGTCCCCTGGTGGTTTAATTTTGACCCACACCCATCTAAGTATCATTAGGTTTCCAGCTTGGAGCACCACAAAACCCTAGTATGCAAGCGCATGTGGCCCTGAAATCGAAGGATGCGGTTGGTTCCAGGAGAACCTAGGAAGTTTAGTTATGGCTCATCTTGATTTGAAGATACTGGCTTCAACAGCGGCTCTATAAACAGTTCAATATGCTGAATATATGATTCACAACAAACATATATATATATATATATACCTGTATGCATTGTTTGATCACGTGCGCACACACACCTACGTTGATATGCAGCTATTGTATGAAGCATTGGAAGGCGTCCGCGCCTCCCTGTCCCACCGAAATAAGTTGGATCCGCCGAAGGGGGAGCTATTTGAATCTCCAATTGGCATTCTTTCAGCGTCGCGTTATCCCACCGGCTGTGGCTCCCCCCCCATTGTTTTTAAGCAAGAACAAAGTGGCGCCGGACTTGGATGCTTCGCTCCGCACAGTTCCATGTACTTCTACTCAGGGCAGCGATCAATCAGGCTTCTCAGGCGGCAGGTGCTGAGTGACAAACTGCTAGCAAACCTTCCAGCTTGTGATTTGCTCGCTGCTGTGTGGTAACATGGCCATCCCCTGCTCCGCCCTCTGAATCACGCAGCATGCCCTAAGAAAATACGCAGCCACATCAGCTGGGGTACTTCTTGGCATCAAAGAGACCGTCCCCTCCTCATTTGCCCACCCAAAACCCCAACCCAACCCGCCAACCCCCCAGCCTCCCAGCCTCCCAACCCCCCAACCCCCCAACCCGCCAACCCCCCAACCTCCCAACCCCCCAACCTCCCAACCCCCCAACCCCCCAACCCCCCAACCCCCCAACCCCCCAACCCCCCAACCCCCGGCACGCCGCATCTTCCGCTTCCGGGGCCCCGGGCCCCGATGACCACCTCACGGCCCAGCTGGGCGGCCAACATCAAGGTGGTCTTGCCGCCCTTGCAGGGCAGGTCCACCTGCCGGACGCTGGGACTCACTTCCGGCGTAACGGGGCCATGTGGGGCCCCAAAAGAAACCAAACGGTCGAGTGGACTGGTCGGCCCCAAAAAGAAACCAAACTGTCGAATGGATTTTGCCACTTGAAGATGGTCGCAAAAAGCGACTCAAGTCCGTGAACTCAGGAAGTGAGTGGATCTGTCTTTTCTTGAGGGTACCCCTGCTTTGTGGGCTTTAACAGGGAAAACAAAATAAACACCGATGCCATTTTGATCCTTTTTGGGGGTACCACCCCCCCAAAAAAAAAATGCGGGGGTACGTTTTGCCTGCAGGGCTGGTGGGTAGAGGGGACCACCGCAAGTCGTAAGCCTTTCAGGACCCAGGAAACTGGGGAGAGCTAGCAGCTAGAAGCTTGTGCAGGAGCCTTCCTGGGTCCTGAAACAGGTGTCACTCGATGTCCCCTTCAAAGGTTAACATTTTTGCTGGTGGTTGCCATGGAAACGATCGCCACTGCTGGAGGCTCCAAAAAAGGGAAGGGAACTGGCTCGGAAACCCTGTGAAACTTCCCACATACAGGTCCGGTCACCTAGGTTGGCGCAAGCCTACCATGTCCTTGGCACGGCTCCCTCTTGAAAAGCCCCCCAGCTCTGAGTCCGGCTCATTTCCAACCCCAGCTAGTCTTGGTTGCTGCTGACCCCTCTGCAACAAGTGATTCGCTATGGGTCCAATGGGCACATGTACTTCCCCCAAAAGGAATCAAGTCCAAGGATCCGATCAAATGGCCATAAACTTGCCGGTTCTCAGCAAAAAAATGCGGGAATGACCCGTTTTTCAACCAGCCATCCTATGGTTTCCTTTCAGAGAAAGCCATAGCAATCCCCAAAGGGTACAGGGCATGACCCCCTCTAAACCATCCTCTTGCAAATTTAATGGAAGATAAGGCTTAAACCATCATCGCCACACTGGTGAATAAACCATCCATCCTATGGCTTTCCTTACGGGAAATCCCCAGGCCTTCGCATCCTTGGCCAGGAGGCACCGCACCACGGAGGAATGGCCCATGGCGGCCGCCCACATGAGGGCGGTTTGGTGCTCCGAGTCCAGCTGGTTCACCTGCCATTTTTTTGTTTTTTTGTTTTTTGTTTTTTGTTTTTGTTGTTTCTCCTTTTGTTTAAAGGGTTTTGTAGGGAGGTTATAGGATTCATGGGGTGTATGGGGTTTATGGGGTAGATGAGGTTTATGGGGTTTAGGGGGTTTATGGGGTTTATGGGGTTGGGTTTGTGGGGTTGGGTTTGTGGGGTTTATTGGGTTAGGGGGTTTAAGTATTGGGTTCGTAGTCCTAGTTGTTTCCAACCATAGGTTCGTCTGGAAGATGTAGGCGATAGATACATACTCAGCCTCGTAGAGAATTTCTGGGGTAGATTCCATTTGAAGTGGGAAAGCCACGAAACAACAAGGCACACATGGTAGGCTCATAGCGCGGGTACCATTCACCTATGGGCATAGACCACGGCACGGGTGTGTGTGTGTGTGTGTGTGTGTCAAAAAAGTGGTCAATTCGTTGGTTTTCCGCAGCACACACACAAACAAACAAACAAACAAACAAACAAACAGACAGACAGACAGACAAACAGACAAACAAACAAACAAACAAACAAACAAACAAACAAACAAACAAACAAACAAACAAACAAACAAACAAACAAAACAACAGACACAAACACACACAAACACACAAACAAACAAACACGCAAACACAAAGAAAAAGACAAAGACAAGCACAAGCACAACCACCTGCACGCTGGGCCCGCCTTGGCGCCCTGCTCCATCAGAAACTCGCAGACATCCTTCGGGCGCGCGCGCGGTCGGGCGAGCGCGTGCGCAAAGATTGGCGAGGTGGGGCGAGGCCCGCTTCGCTTTACCCATCGTCCTATAAACTGCATGCGCGTTCCATAGTTTCTAAGTGACTCTCTCTTGTGAGTTGATACGGCTGTGGGTCAAAAATAGGGACTCGAAATGGAACCCTGGCAAATAGAACCAAGGACCAAAACCTGCGGTCCCCTGCTGGTTTAATTTTGACTCATAACCATACTACCGCTGAGGGTGCTCAACAAAAGGAATTCAAGGGAAAGCTGCCCACCTGGGCGACTCGCTCACTTGCAGACACACCCAAGTGTGGTCAGGGGATCAGTTCGGGGGAAGGGCGGTGCGGGTTGCACCCGGCCCGCCAGCTTGAGTGCTCAAACTCAGTCCACGCCCTGAACCAAGCCTCAATCAATCCTTCAACATCAAACCGCCGAACAAACCCCAAATAAAGCCCACACAAAGTGCCACCGGAACGCCAACCTGAAATCAGGACTACAACCACCCGTTGACCAAACTTAAAACTGCACTGAAGCCACCAATCGAATTAGTCTTTCAAAAGCAACTCGAATCACACTTGGGCCGACCTTAAACCAGGCTTCAACACAACACCCATTAACACCCCGAAGCCTCAATTCCAGCTTCAATGAATCCTGGGGTCACCTTCAAACCCAGCCTGAAACTACCTATGTTCCAGACCAAATGAAGCATCGGACCCACCTTACATACACCCGCAAACCAACTCTGAACCAGCTCTCGTTTTAAAGTCAAGGCTCCCTTTGCCGTAGGTCAGCAATGGACGCACTACCCCTACCTCACCTGGCCCCATTGGGGAATGGTCCTGACCCAAACCTTCTGCGGGGCAGCCTTCCCCTGCTATTGTTTTTTGTTTGCGTGTGTGTGTGTGTGTGGTTGTTTGTTTTGTTGTTGTTACGATTGTTCTTCTCTTTTCTTTTTTTTTTGGGGGGGGGGGTAATCCTTCGCTGGCGAGTTTTAACAATGCAACGTGTGAAACCACTTCATCATCATAGATTCAGAACGGCCCGGTTTGGCTATCATTTTGAGCGGCTTTCCGGTGTATCCGTCGGAAGCCGCGTGCCTGGTGACCATTGGCGGCAGCCTTCATGAGCGCGGTCTCGCCCTTGTCTGTCACATAATCCGCGGCCGCGTCGTAGTTTTTGATCAAGAACTCCTCCGCTTTGTTGCGTTCGCCGGATTCCGTGGCACAAGGTTGGATCTCAGGGTGTCCTCTACTTCCCTTTTTGGAACCTCCAAAAGTGGCGATCGTTTCAATGGAAACCACCAGCCAACTGCTAACTTTCAGGGGGCAATCCAGTGACCCCTGCTCAAGCGCAAAGTGGGTCCACCCCGAAACGGGTCAAACAGGGACGTTCAATTCGTACCTTTTTGTGGGAAAATCAACCAACGGTTGCCGAGCTCCCAAGTGGAACTCCACTCAAGTCCCTAGGCAAGCAAAGCAGCAGGCCCTGGGTTACTATGATATGGCTTCTGTCGCTCACAAGCTCACAGCTTACATCGCAGCCTGGGTGTGCTCTTGCAAATAAGAAAGAAACAAACAAAACTCATCTTCAAGTTTGACTCGGGTCCCCCCGCCAAAAAACTTTTGTCGGGTCTCCGGGAAGGATGCCCTCACGCTGAGCGCCAAAATCTGTCCGAGGGGCGCAGGTGTCAATGCTCCCGGCCAGGGCCGCCCACATCAACACCGTCCAGCCATGGTCGTCCTTCAGGTCCTCAGATGTCAAGCAGGCGTCTCTGCTTGAAGGTGGTCGATTTCTTTCGCGGTTCCCCTGTTGGACCATCCCCCCCCAAAAAAAAAAGAAAAAGAAAAACGGGTTGCATGTTCGCCAAAAAGGAAAGCAAGGCAACCCAACTAGTCTAAGGGCACCAAATCCCTTTTGCAGGTCCCTTTTGAAGTGAATGGCTTGGTGTGCCCAAGAAATCAAATGGGGCGAAAGGAAAACTGCCAAAATGACGCAAACCCCACTCTCTGACTCCCCTTGTTGGTTAAAAGGGAACCAGAGAGCTTGAAGTTCCCTTTCTAAGAAGCCACCGAAAGTTCTGGAGGACATTCGCGAGCTATCCCATTTGCTTGGTATCGAACCTGCGGTGGGTGTCATCCTAGGGCTGCACCCTCCAAGGGTTGTCGATTTGTTGTGATGTTTGGGCCATTCTTGGTACCAATTGACAATCCTTGGAGGGTTGGAATAATCTCAAGCGAATGGACTGAACGAAGCTCTGGGACCCATCCCACCCAAAAAAGAAAACGAAAAGAAATACTTGACACCGACACCAATCCAATGGGAGAGGTTGGGCCAATTTCGTCCGCAACTTCCTGTGGCTTCAGGGAAAGCATCTGGGGGCTGTCCTCAGATCCCCTGCTAAAAGTTCAACTTTCAGTGTGTGAAATGGAAATCCAACCCCTAAGCGCTAAAAGCTCAAAGGCCAGGGGGAACCGGATGACTGCGAGGCACCAAGCCAAAAAGCGACAAAGAATTCCGGGCCCAATTCTCACGTGCAGGTCTGCCCTACCGAAAAGAAGCTGCCTGAACCCTCAAAACTCCATCTTAAAAATGGGTTTGACCCCCAAAATTATGGTTGGTGATATCCCATGTTTGATGGGTAGCTTGAGGGAGGTGGACACCGAGCCGCCAGAGAGGCGCCTTCGTCCACCAAGAGCCGCAGGACTTCCAGCTCGTCGTTCTCCGCCGCCTTCCTCAGAGCCGGCGAAGGGAGGAAGATGCCGGGCTCGTCTTTGTTTGGTGCCCAGAACTGGGAAATTGCATCTGGTTGGGGTCGCCTAAAAAAATCATGAGGTCCAAGCTATAAGCCGCCAAAGCTTACATTTTGCGACCACCAAGTTGTTTTGCTACATCCCCGCTGGGCTTTGTGTCCGTAGTTGTTTGGTTCTAGCTTCTGGGCATCCGTCTTTTTGTGGGGCCAAAAAGAAAACCACCCTCAGACAAAAGCTCGGCAACCTACAGAACCCCCCGCCCAAGAAACCCCTGGGCCAAGCTCGAGTCGCCTCTTTCCACTCCCGCCCTCCCCTCTAGCGCAGGGCTCATCAGCGCGGTGACCCCCTCATCGTCCTTCACGTCCAGCACACGCTGCCTCTCCATCTTCATGAACTTCTGATCCGCCGTCATGCCCCCCCGCTTGTGGCCTCACTGGTGGCATGCCTTCAGCTTTCAGGGCGGGGGAGACGTGCATGGGTCCCTGGATTTCACACCACGTCATGTCTCAGCTTTCTTGAAGTAACCTGAGTCCAGGGGTGTACTGCAATTAGTTGTTCCCTTGCACCTGGTCACATGGCCGTGGTGTACAGCACAAAATCTTGACCGCGGGGCCCTAGACTTCGCATGGGGAGAAAATAATGCTAATTTTATTGGTGAGGTTGAAAAAGGTTCCGCGCAACACAAGCATAACTAGAAGGTTTAGTGGGAGGCCCGCCCCAAAATAAGCACAAACTGCCACCGGGCCCAGCTAGACACCCAGTACCTGGCTCGCTGAAAGCATCCGCGCAGCGCACGGCGCAAGGCGCTTGCCGGATTGTGTGCTCAACAGGTGTTAACTAGGGCCTGGGAAAAAGGAAGAAAAGACTCACTTATCGCAACACATAAACCATATATGGGCCATCATACGAACCGTCTGTGCAAGTCCCCTTGTCTCGGCTGCCAAACCAGAAGTGCAAAGGGAAGCTCTAAGATGGTGCCCACTACCCCGAAACCACTACTTTCAGGGCTTGAATGGTGCAGCCACCATAAAGCCACCTTAAGTATGTATACACGCGTATATACCTGGACCCTCAATCACCCTTCGTTTTTGGGGTGGTGCTGTGTTGCATTCATTTTTGGGGTGTTTTGTCATTTTTTGGGGTGTTAGTTCCATGTTTGGGTGTTTTCGTTTTTTCCATGCGCTGCTTTGTCAACCCTGCAATTTCGCTAGCGGTGTGTTTAACTTGTTTGAATTAACAACGTTGTTGTTCACTGCGCAGGGCTTGCTTGAAAGATACAAGTGCCAAGTCAAGCAGCGGCGCGGACCTTGCTGTCACCCAATGTCAAACCTCCAGGTTCAGCTCAGCTGCGCAATGCCTTTGATGTTGGCATGGAAGAAATCATCAAACATAATTTGACCTTGGCCCAAACGGCTTGAATGCCAACACAACACAAGGGAAAACAAAAGCCGCGTTATTAGCCTTTCATTTTTGTGTGAGAAATGCATTTTGTGAGTTGCACAAGTTAAGAAGGCTGCCCCGTTGCGTGCTGCCTACTGTTGGAGCCGATCACTGAGCCGCAAGGCATCCAAACCAGGTTTCCTTTGGAAGCGAGCAGGTGGCTTGGTGCACCACAACTCAAACTGATGTTTAGGAGGGCGCTGCGACAATGCAAAGAACCAACATCCCTTAAAACAGGAGTTAGCCAATTCGAGTTGTTTCTTCTAGTGTGTGCGGTGTGCTTTGCGCGGCACACATCACAAACGGTCTTTCAGGGCAAAACCCGGTCTTCTAGTGGCTTGAAACAGTGTGCCCTGCGCAGTTCACCGCATGTTCATGTAATGTCACTCTACTTTCACGACAGTAGAGTCCAAGAAGGTATAAGTTCAATGAACAAATATTGTCGCAACAAATTCAGAAGGATAGCTTTCGCAGATTTTGTAGCAGCGCGATGGGAGTGATTCCGCATTTGTCCACAGCTCTGTGCCCTTGGGCCATGTGCCCAAAGTTGTTTCAATCTACAAACAGCACAAGAAACGTCTTAATTCTGCATGATGTACAATACTTTGCGAATTCGGGTATTTTCTGTTTCACCATGCCTCCTAGATGATCAAGTTCACATGTTGCTTCAACTCTTCAACTGTGGTTCTTTGGCTAATGCGACTCAGCGCAACATGTACCAGTTGCCCTTAAAGTTGATGTCCTGAAGCAAGCATACAGCCAAAGGGTCCAGTCTTTATATGATAGCAGGCAAGCTTGCAACACCTGCTATTTTGCAAACAGTAGCTGTCACTAGCAATTGAATGGTCGTTCCTTAAGCTCAGTATTCTGCGAACAATAGCTGCCACTGGCAATTGAATGGTCGTTCCGTAGCGTCCACCTAGGATTAAACATTGCACCTGGAATAAAGACAAAGGGGTGGCCCCCCAAAAAATGCACCTGGAATAAAGACAGGCACCCGCCACCCCCGCCCAAATGTTCTGAACGAAAAGTATACGGAACATGACAAAATGGAACAAAAAGAGAAAGAAGAGGAGATGTAGCCAAGCCAACACCTGGTCCTTAGATCTTTGGTACCTTGTTCTTCAGCTCCCCAAAAATCAAACTGTCCAGCTGCCCAAGAAGTCATGGTTTATTACATGTCTCTTGTTTAAAAACTGCCCGCAATCAAACCTGCAAAGGGGGTGGGTAGTGCTTCAGGCCCCCAAACTTGAGCCCAAGACTTTATTTCAGGGGCCCCTACAATAAAGTCTTGTTGTTTGGCCCCCTGCAAATATACAACGAGCCCAGCGTAACTACCTATGAAGCTTCGGGCTTTGTTGTTAGATTTGGGCCTGCTTCCCAAAATCAAACATGTCCAGCTTCCCCAAGCTCTTGTTTTCTTGCATGTCTCTTGTATAAAAACTGCCTACAACCAAACTCACAAACAACCTAGTACTTCACCCCCCCTGAAATACAGTCTTGTTGCCTGCCCGCGGCTGCCCGCGTCCAAAAAACATCAAGAGGAAGCTCCAGCAATACAAAAGCAAATGGAAACCAAGTTCCAGATCTCAAAAGGAAGCTCCAGCAATGCAAAATCAAATAGCAACTCCATTCCAGATCTCAAAAGGAAGCTCCAGCAAGGCTAAATTACATGGAAACTCAGTTCCAGATCTCAAAAGGAAGCTCCAATGCTAAATCAAATGGAAACTCAATTCCAAGTCTCAAAAGGAAGCTCCAGCAATACTAAATCTTATGGAAACTCAGTTCCAGATCTCAAAAGGAAGCTTCAGCAATGCTAAGTCGAATAAAACCAATTTCCAAATCTCAAAGGAAGCTCCAGCAATACTAAATCAAATGGAAACTCAGTTCCAGATCTCAAAAGGAAGCTGCAGCAATACTAAATCAAATCGAAACTCCATTCTAGATCTCAAAAGGAAGCTCTAGCAATACTAAATTAAATGGACACTTAAGCCTGCCAATACTGAAGCAAATGGAAGCAAAATTGAACTGGATCTCAAGAGAGTATTCTAGGCACCCCCTTTGTTGGGGGGGAGAGGGCCCCCCCTTTACTACTCCCAGGCGGACATTACTCCGAACAAAGACCATTTAAAGGACATTACTCCGAACATAGTCCGGATAGGTGGACAGGGTCCGCCGGACCGGTTGGACGGCCCGGACGGGTCCAGACGGGTCTGGATAGGTCCGGACGGGCCCGGACTATCAAAAAAAAGTGTGTTTTTCCAAAAAAAGGTGTTTTGGTTCGGACTAGTCCGGGACGGACGCTTAAATACGCCTTTTGGACGCCTAAATACGCCTTTTCGGACGCCCCGCTGGACGCCCAAAACAAAAAAAGGTGTTTTGGATAGAAAAAGGTTTTTTGGTATGTTTTTCTCGTCCGGACGCGTCCGGACGCGTCCGCCCGCCCGGACCCTGTCCACCTATCCGAACTATGTTCAGAGCAATGTCCTGTAAATGGTCTTTGTTCGGAGTAATGTCCACCTGGGATTAGTAAAGGGGGGGCCCTCCCCCACCCCAACAAAGGGGGTACCTAGAATAATCTCTTGAGATCCAGTTCAATGTTGCTTCCATTTGCTTTAGTATTGGTAATTAGACTTGAATTTCCATTTGATTTAGTATTGCTGGAGCTTCCTTTTGAGATTTGTATTTGAGTTTCTGATTGATTTAGAGATTTGGAATTGAGTTTCCATTTGACTTAGTATTGCCTGAGCTTCCTTTTGAGATTTGGAATTGACTTTCCATTTGATTTAGCATTCCTGGAGCTTCCTTTTGAGATTTGGAATTGAGATTCCATGTGATTTAGCCTTGCTGGAGCTTCCTTTTGAGATCTGGAATTGAGTATCCATTTGATTTAGCATTGGAGCTTCCTTTTGGGATTTGGAATTGAGTTACTATTTGATTTTGCATTGCTGGAGCTTCCTTTTGAGATCTGGAACTTAGTTTCCATTTGATTTTGTATTGCTGACAAGACTTTATTTCAGAGGCCGTTGAAATAATGTCAAATTGGGGGTGAAGTTTCTGAAGTACTAGGTTGTTTGTGGGTTTGGTTGTAGGCAGTTTTTATACAAGAGACATGCAAGAAAACAAGAGCTTGGGGAAGCTGGACATGTTTGATTTTGGGAAGCAGGCCCAAATCTAACAACAAAGCCCGAAGCTTCATAGGTAGTTACACTGGGCTAGTTGTATATTTGCAGGGGGCCAAACAACAAGACTTTATTGTAGTGGCCCCTGAAATAAAGTCTTGGGCTCAAGTTTGGGGGCCTGAAGTACTACCCACCCCCTTTGCAGGTTTGATTGCGGGCAGTTTTTAAACAAGAGACATGTAATAAACCATGACTTCTTGGGCAGCTGGACAGTTTGATTTTTGGGGAGCTGAAGAACAAGGTACCAAAGATCTAAGGACCAGGTGTTGGCTTGGCTACCTCTCCTCTTCTTTCTCTTTTTGTTCCATTTTGTCATGTTCCTTATACTTTTCGTTAAGAAAAAAATGGGGGGGGGGGGGGGGGCGGGCGAGTGCTTGTCTTTATTGCAGGTGCATTTTTGGGGGAGCCACCCAGTTGTCTTTATTCCAGGTGCAATGCTTAATCCTAGGTGGACGTTACGGAACGACCATTCAATTGCTAGTGACAGCTATTGTTCGCAGAATACTGTAGCATGCCTTGCAAGCTTGCCTGTTATCATATAAATACTGGACCCTTTGGCTGTAACAGTGAGGGTCTTGGGGCAGTTTAGCGCTGTGAGCAAAGCTTGAAAGCAATATGCTTGCTTCACGGCATCAACTTTAAGGGCAACTGGTACATGTTGCGCTGAGTCGCATTAGCCAAAGAACCACAGTTGAAGAGTTGAAGCAACATGTGAACTTGATCATCTAGGAGGCATGGTGAAACTGAACATACCCGAGTTTGCAAAGTATTGTATACCATGCTTAATTAAAATGTTTCTTGTGTTGTTTGTAGATTGAAGCAATATTGGGCACATGGCCCAAAGGCACAGAGCTGTGGACAAATGCGGAATCACTCCCATCGCGCTGCTACAAAATCTGCGAAAGCTATCCTTCTGAATTTGTTGCGACAATATTTGTTCATTGAACTTATACCTTCTTGGACTCTACAGTCGTGAAAGTAGAGTGACATTACATGAACATGCGGTGAACTGCGCATGACACACTGTTTCAAGCCACTAGAAGACCGGGTTTTGCCATGAAAAACCGTTTGTGATGTGTGCCGCGCAAAGCACACCGCACACACTAGAAGAAACAACTCGAAATGTCTAACTCCTGTTTTAAGGGATGTTGGTTCATGTTGGTTCTTTGCATTGTCGCAGCGCCCTCCTAAACATCAGTTTGAGTTGTGGTGCACCAAGCCACCTGCTCGCTTCCAAAGGAAACACCTGACTTGGATGCTTTGCGACTCAGTGATCGGCTCCAATGCTAAGCAACACGCAACGGGGCAGCCTTCTCAACTTGTGCAACTCACAAATGTTTGTCTCACACATAAATGCAAGGCTAATAACGCGGCTTTTGTTTTCCCTTGTGTTGCGTTGGCATTCAAGCCGTTTGGGCCAAGGTCAAATTATGTTTGATGATTTATTTCATGCCAACATCAAAGGCATTGAGCAGCTGAGCTGAACGAAGAGGTGTTACATTGGGTGATAGCAAGGTCCGCGCCGCTGCTTGAATTGGCACTTGCATCTTTCAAGCAAGCCCTGCACAGTGAACAGCAACGCCCCAAAGAACACCGCTTATCGTGACAACACCGTTAAACAAATCCGCTGATGGACTTTCAGGGCTTTACTTGGCACAGAACCAAAAAAAGGTGTTTTGTTCAAGAAAATGTGTTTCGACAAAGAATGCCATTCTTTACATTTTGCCCCAAAAATTTGGGGTGGTTTGAGACTCCAGGTACCCCTAATTTACCCAAGGGGCCGTGCTTTTAGGGGTAGTGGACACCATCCCAGATGAAGCAATCAACCGTTGTGACTGGACGCTGCCCACTTCCGCATCACACTGCGCATTGTTGCGAAATCCATCTCGCACCACAAAATGACACCATGGTGTTTTGGACATGCTTTCCTAGAGAGGCAGGCCCGAAACCCTGGCTGAAACCACGTCTGTTGGGCACTGGGGAATCGCATCAGAAGCCACGGGTTCTGAACGCTGCGAAATGGATTTCCTCAGTGCCGGGCGTTGGGTCTGGGCATCGATGAGATACCTCACCACCTCCAGGTGCCCCGATTTGCCTAGGAGCGCGCTTGGAAGGCTCGCTTCCTAGCCTCCCAACTGAGAGTCTGAGAGGTGCCAGACAAGTCGCTTTTTAGCCTCCCATCCATTTTCTATGGCACCTGAGAGGTTAAACATGTGGGTGTGGCCCAGTGTGGCTCAAAAATAGGGATCGGTCCAAAGTGGGTTGGTCTGGCAAATGGAAAGGTAGACTAAAACCTGCGTGACCCCAGCCGTTTAATTTTGACCCACACCCTTCAAGAGAAAACATAACTTTCCGGCTACCCTCCCACAGGTGCCATGTTCGTGGGGAAAAAGGTACCTCTAGAGTGGGCAACCTGGGGGTTCCAACTGGTGGTTTACACCCCTGGCCAACAGCTACCTGCACACCTACTACAGTGGTAACTGAAAGCACTTGGAAAGGCAATGGGCAAGGGAGCAGCCAATCAAATCAATTGAAGCCAAACCAATCAAATCAAGGCAACCTCGAAACACACAACACACTCGAAAGAGCGCAGCCGAGAATCAGGCAAAGGGAACGAACCACAGCAACACAAAAACCTGAAGGCTATTTACCCTAGGCCCTTGCCTGCAAATGCCCAAAGAGAAAAGCACATGTTGCACGCCTGCAAGCAGGGCTGTGGGGAATGGAACCCACTTCTGTGATACAACAGAAAGGGATTCCCAAAGACTATTTTGTTCATATGAAGGGGGATTCCCTTGTATCACAGAAGTGGGAGAAACCCCTTGATCCCACAACCCTGCCTGCAAGTGAAACAAAGTACCGCATTGAAATCCGGACCCCAGCCCCTCCCCTCTCAACCATACATTCGTTCCCGTGCACAAAAAGAAGGTAAAAACCCCCTCAGTCGCATGTACGATCTACGCCAGCTCGCATACCTTACCAGCCTGGTCTGGATTTTGGTCCAACATTGTAAAGGCCTTGTGGCTGACAGCCCCCGTTTTCTCACCTTGCTTCCATAGAACCTGAGGCCCCAGGAAGATCAACTTCCCCTTTTGGAGGAAAGGGCATTCTGCTGAACAAGCGCCCCTTCCAAAAAAAACACAATCCCAATTCATGTTTTTGGAGTCCAGGGGATGAAAAACAATGAAAGTTCCAATGCACTCCTACCTTTGGAGTTCCACATGAACTCATTCTCCAAGTTCCTCCCGGCCTGTTCCCCACTGAGCCTAACACGACCACCAACAGCGAGACTAGCCCGATTTTTTTTTCTCCCAGGGACCTCCTGGGGTACCGCTTCAGGGTTTCGTGGCTATCCCTTTTCCTTTTCACTTGGTTGCTTAACCCCCTGCAAAAAGTTTAACTTTTTGGGGGTTTAGTGGAAAACACTTTGATTTCAACCAAAAAGTTAAAGTCTAAAGATCCAACCCAACAGCAACCAAGCTGTAAAGCCCGAAGGGTTCCAACGGCCCGTGTGAACGTCTCGAGGTTTTATGAGCGGGCGGCAGGCTTTCATCAGGGCCGTCTCCCCCGTGTCATCCTTGGCGGAGATCCGACTGCCTGCGTCCACCAGGAACTTCACCACCTGAGATCCGAAACGGGGTGGCCAGCCTGCTGCGTTTGGGGGGAGGGTTACAGGATGTATGTCCAATCCACCATGTTTGAGGGAACTTGGCACCCATCAAATCCTCACAAGAACCATGGCTTGGTAGGCTTCGTTCTCCAGAGGAAGGTCTTCTTAGAGGGGCGCCTGTGCACTTCCATGCTTGCTGGGAGTTCCCTGAAAACCCCAGGATGAAATTAATTCCACGAGTGCACCTCAGCAAATTCAAGCCCATGAGTGCACCTTTTCGCCTGGGTCTCGGTGGTTTGGGATCGAAGCCTTCGGCTTATCTCGTTCCCGGCATGGATCAAAGTCTGGTGACTCAACGGGCTCGTTCCCCCTTTTCTGCGGGAGGTGTCCGGATCCACTCAATATGAATAGCTTCCAACGCCCACACACAAAGAGAAAGAGAGAGAGAGAGCGATATATACACACATATATATATATATACAAATAGCGAGAAGGGGAGGGAGAGGGAGAGGCGGAGGGAGAAAAAACAAGCCAATCATGCAATCCCTTTCAATCTCGGGTTTGAGCAATCAGCCGGTGATTTGAGGTCAAGATGATCCGGTCGAGATGCGTTCAACCATAGAGCGCGGAGTTGGAGACTCGGTCGATACCGGGGTGCGTCTGGGGGAAACCACATGGGGCCAAGCTGGACTTGCATGTGCAAGTCCGGAATCCCATTGTTTTTGATTCGACTCTCCAGGTGTAGCTATGCATTCCTTCAGTTGAAGCCCGCATTTAGTGCACCAAGACAGACGTCACCGAGACAAGGCGTGCCCTATGTGGTGTCTGGACAAATCCGCAAATAGGACCAACCGCTCGGAGCCAAAGGGTCGAAGCACCCCTGGGAAATGGAGTGGGCAAACCGATCCTGTTCTTCTGGAGAAACGTGCCTGAAAAGCTGAGGGGCTTACGGTTTTACAATTCAAACGAAGCCGGGTGATAGAAAGACACCCCCAGTCTGCTTTCCTGCGGGGCTGGCATTCGTCAACCGGTGTAACTCTTCAAGCCATTCCCCACGTGAATTCGCCCCCAGCACCAGTTGCCAGGAACTGGCAGGAACGTCTCCGGATTTTTCTTTAGGAACTTCTCCGGAAAACAAGCCAACAAAAACAAAAACAACACAAAGAGAACCAAAAGCTGGCAGCCCGGGGGCGTGAATATGGCCCATCTCTGCCGCATACATCAGGGCGCTGATGCCGTCGGCATCTTTCTGGTCCACCTTCACCTTGGGCCCCTGGCGCGGCTTCGCTGCAAACATCCAGGGGGGACTCACCTCAAGGTGCGACCTGGCCGTAGGTCAATAACCAATGCTACCATTTTGGGGTAGGTGCACCACCCGTTTTAGTCTGTTTTAGTGGGGATTGGGATGCCACAGCCACATGTGATGTTGGGCAATTAACCAAGCAGGGGGCAAATGTGGGGGAGCAAAAGGACCAAACGGCGAGCGAGGATTCGAAAGCTCCCCGGTCGGCTTGCTGTACTCAGCTTTTAGCTTGTGCGGGCACATTGGAACAGGTAGGCGTGGACCCATCTTTTTGACCCCAACCTGTGCTCGGGTCTTAGAAGCAAAGAAAAAAAAGGAAGCAACGAAAAAATCGGAAACAAAACGAATCGGTGGCTTCGGGTACGACTCGGCTCCCCTTCCCAAGGTTCCCCCCCCTCGGCTCCTGCATCGCCTTCGCACAGGCATCCTCCGACCCGCTCTTGGCCGCCTGCGCGTCCGGAGTAAACTCGGTTGCTTTCTGCTCCCCTGCTAAAAGTTCAGCTTTTAGTGGTTTAATGGAAAACCCATTAAATGACAAAAAGTTATAAAGTCCTAACATCCAAGCAAAATGCAACAAAGTAAAGGCGACAGCGGCCTGAGTTTGTTTGCAGATACGGTGGGGGAGCTAAATGTGGCTGACTATGCTTGCAGAAAATGGGAATGCAAACCCCACGAGCACGTGTGGGAATGTCGTTCACGTTTGGTGAACGCGCTGAACATGGGAGCTTTTGCGTCCACAAGGTCGAGGGCAGCCTGAGACTGCCCAATTTCAAGAAGGTCCATCAAGAACCCAAGCTTTATCACCAGCAGTTTCATCCACTGGCCTGACATCCTCAGTGAAGAGGTCCTAAGATGCCACCCCTCGTTGGCCCCCCGAACCTCACCTAACCCACTTAACCCCCACATTACCCCACCTAACCCCACCTCACCCTACCTAACCCCACCCCTAACCTCTCTTGTCTCCAAACCCTGTGGTCAATGTGCTGGTGGATCTACCCTGCCGCCCCCTCCGCGTTCCAATGGACGGAAAGGTGGCGACCCTGGGTGTGCCAGACAGGAGCAACCCTCGGTGCTCAGGTCTTCGGGGTCAAAGTCTCCAGGTATCATGGGGGCTGGGCCCTTATTTGGGGCTTATTTGGGCTCCCTCCCCCTCCCCCTCCCCCCCCCCCCAGCCCCCATGAAGTTATGCTTCCCCAACTCCTGGATCTGTTTGAATGGAGCGACAGAACCCGCCGAATCGCGCGAAAATGTTGCTCTTCTTTTCTCAGATCGATCCATTGATCCTATTTGGCCGATTTTTTGCAGCCCCCAAGGCACGTGAAAATGGGAATTCCTGAACACGGGAATCCCCGTCGCCGTCTGAGTTGGGTGCTCCAAGAAGAAAAACACCCCCAGCCAGCGATCCTCGATGAGGGGATGCGTCGTCACCGTGGTACCCTTGCCCTGTTGGCTTTTCAGCGCCGCCAGCAGGTTGCTGGTCATGGCTGCCGCGAAGTCGAAGCAACCCGCACGAATGCGCGGGGCAGCTGCTCCGCGCAACGTGGAGTTCAATAGGGGAAGGGGTGGGGAAGCAACAGCAGAAGGTTCCTTGCGGCAATTGAGGATAAGCAGAAGGCTTGGGGTTTAAACAAATAGCCGGCAAACATGTGAGTTGGGCCCCTCATTCGGCCATGGCTCTTGCGCCTTGCGCCTTGCGGCTTACAGGGCCGTGTGTGTTTCTTGAGGTCTCGGCTTCCTGCGGATTTTCCGGCACTCAAACTGAAGCTGGGGCCTCAAATCCGCGGTGGAGAGCGCCCGGGCCCAAGGTCGCCTTGCTCATGTTCATGGAGGCTGCTGGGCCATGCCATCTACGAAATAGGTTCTATCCACGGCGCTCTAAGTCAGCCAAGCGCTGTGAAGCACGATGATTACTACATATGAGGTTGCTTTCTTGGAGCGGGAATGCTCCACTCCCCCCCAAACAAAGAATCAGCCGCGGTCAAAATTACTGCCCGGAGGAGGCATCAAATAGGGGTAACTGACTTCAAGGGTTCCACAGTCTCTCCACCTTTTTTCGAAGGGATCATGACCCTCAGTTTGGACGTCTCTGCTTCTAGCTCCAGCAAATTGACAGCCTGGATTAAACCACAAGTGCGCCCCTTCAACTCAAACATTGGAACAAGGCTTTGATCGAACCATATATGTGTCACTACAAAACCTTCAAACCATGGCCTTCAATGTCTGCCTGATCCGGAAATACTAAAGCCAAAGAATGTTCCTCTGCGAAATCGCCGGTCAGGCGGAACCGAGCTATCACCAAGTTTGGAGGGGTCGTTTAGCGTCGCAATTTGTGCCAACAGACCCGCAAAGCTTTGCAGCCCTCACCCTAATCCCCGCTCAAACTGGGGAGGAATCGAATTTGCCCAACAGGGCTCTCACAAGTTGAAACAAAGCAAATGCACCAGAAACCGAACAAAGGTTGATTTGCCTGACAATACACCCCTGCCGTGTCTAAGCCTCCCTGCAGCGCATCTTCCATCTGTGCCTGCGGCTGCGCGCGGGTTGCATGTGCACACAATCAAATGTGGGAAACAAGAGATCCTCCGAAGAGGGCTAGTTGACAGGGGGGCATTAGACTTGCCACCCAAAGATTGCCACCCATTTAAGAGATCCTTTTATAGGCAATGAAGCTGTACGTTCTTCCCAAAGTACTCTTGATCAGAGAGAGGGTCAACTTGCCGCCCGTGGCCGATGCGAAGGGAGCGGACACTAACGCTTTTGGCCCATGTTGTTTGGGTCCCTAGCGTCTTCTTAGCATGCCTAAGCCAAGATAGTGGATGGTGCAGAAACCACAAGGCGGAGGTGGCTTGACCCATATCAATATAAGAGGGTGGGGCCAGCCTGATTGAACATGTTTGCGCCCAACCTCTTTCAGGATTCCAGGTGGCTACCTGATCAATTGTGTCGCCTGAGCCACCAGCAAAAAAGAAACACTGACCATGGGAGCCACGGGCAGGTCATGCCCCCGAAATGGCATGGGAGGGTGATGCAGTGAGTTCCCTAGGTTCCGAACTCAAACTGGATAGGCCTTGAGTGGCTGGGGCATCACTTGGCGCTCAATGGGCCCGTCCAATTTCTGTCAACAATCAAAGCATCAGAAAGCAGAAAGCCGGACCCATTTATGAATCGAACCCCCCCCCCCCCCCCGCTTTGTTTGCCTGGCTTTTGACGGCTCAGGCTCAACTCATTCGAGTCCTGAATGCAATCCACAGCCACAGCCCGGAGGTCCTCTTCCTCGAGGTTCACCTTTTTTGGTTGCTTGGAAGGGAAACCAAGCGAGCCAGGCAGTTCTTGTTTGGGGGGGGGCGTCATGAGACGCTCCCGCCTTGGCCACTATGCCACGACCGGCCATCACTGTGGATTTCGGGGAAGGCTCCTAAGCTCGCGGCGAAGCGATTCGCCGTTCGGGATAGAGAAGCAAAGCTTCAATGGGTTCACCCCGACTGGTCCACGATCATTCTGATGCCGAAGTCAACACGACGCATGACATTGAGCTGCTCCGCCTGGTGAATCACAATCAAAACCGATCGGTATTAAAACGGTCGTAATCCCAGAACCATGCTTCAAGAATTAAGAAGGCGGACACCCGCAACTATTTCTGGCTGGGACTGCCCGTTACTAACAGGATCATCTACCCGGGCTTTGAGCAAGTGGCTCCGGTGTCGCGATAGATAGATGACACACAAGATTTCCAGTGGTGCTTGATTGCATCTGGACCTCCCCTTGACTGCGCAACATGGGCGGTTCCCGTAACTCACAGAACCCCCTCCTTTCTTTTGGACCATTCAGGCGGGCCAACATAAAACCACGTCTTCATTACCCAGCCAGCTCACAGTCTGACGTCACAAGTCTCGCACCGTGAAACACGGGACCCGTTCTGGAGTTGCTTTCTCATTACATGCCCCTTCTTGTACACAATGGGAATCCAATGTTTGCCCAGGATTTGCCTTTTTCACCGGAGAAACCCAATTTCTCCCTCAAAGAGTTTGACTCGACACGTTCCAAGGGGGCCTTTAAATCAAGGTGTCAAACGTTGCGAGCTATCCAGTCGTTCACCTCCTCGCCGAGTTCGGGTGCAGATTGGAGGCGGATGAAAAGCTTGGTTGCTGTTGACCCCCCTGCAAAAAGTTTAACTTTTTGGGGGTTTAGTGGAAAACGCAACTTTATTTCAGCCAAAAAGTTAAAGTCTAAAGATCCCACCCAATTGCAGTTAAGAAAAAAGTCAAGAGACCTTCGGGCTTGAGGGAATTGGCAGACACGTGGCTGACAGTGCCAAGTGCCCCAGACAATTCCATGGGGTCACCTAAAGTATGAGGGGCTTCCCTGCTTTCCCCTTAAATGCAAACCAAAGGAGAGATCTTTCCCATTCTTGAAGAAAACACAACACACCAGCGGGGTCCACGGACTTGGCCGACCGGTCTCAGGCACACACGGCGGGTGCAGAATACATTGGCCATGATGACGTTTTATCCAAGAAAATTTCGGGGTAGCCATGGGATCTCCGCGAGTTCCACAGATTCTCAAGTTCTGCCTGTGGTCAAAAGGCAACCCCATCCCGAATCCCGCCGAGAGTTCCCCAACCCTTCGCCAAGGCTCAGATTCTGGCTGAAGAGCATGGCAGAAGGCGCATTTGACAAAACGGCCGGCACGCCGCTCTTTGAGACGCTCGCCCCGAAAACGATCCAAAATGCGCAGACAGCTCACCAACTGGGTAAAAAGCTGCTACCTCAGCTTTCGCAACCAAATAGATTTCTATGTTCCGCTTTACATTTTGACCTTGGGACATAAAGCCAGGCTTGGGGCCTGGACCAAAACAGTGACTGGTGAGCCTCCCGGAATATAAATTGAGGAACTTTCTCGAAGAACACTTCCACGCTTGAAAAAAGACAACCCCTCTCCGATCTGGCGGGGTCAATTGTTAAAGCCCTAAAACAAGGTTGATGGGTGAAACCGGGGGGAAAAGAAGCACGTTGTGGTACCTCAGATTATTATTTTTTTTGGCCTCGTGGGCTTAACTTAGACTAAAGCACCTGTCGGTCCGATTCTTACCCGGGCAACTGGTAAAGACCCTACAAACCACCTCCCAAAACCGCCTGCAAGGGCTGATGGGCTTATATGCCGTATGATGACAGAAAGCCAAATTCGGCCTCAACAGTCCTTGGGGCTTGCTCGAAGGGCCCTCGATACGTTCAAACCCCATGGTATGCCGTGTCCATATTTTGTTTCATCAACTCAGCGGGGATAAAAGACGCCAGAATTATGATGAGCTCATCGGGGTACAACAAGCAAAACAAGCACGACCCTTGCCAGACCGAACTTACCTTTTTTACCTTTTGCTTTTTGTTTTTTCATCATTTTCCCTTTCAACCAAGGCGTGCCAAGTGTCAGCCACTCATTCTTTTTCAGGGGTCGCTGGATTTCCCAAAAAACAAAGTTGATCAATGTTTACTGGTGGTTTCGCATTGAAACCATCAATCCACATGAACGGAGGATCCACACATAGGTGACCCTTTGCAAACAAGATCTCCCTGGTAAAAATGGAATAAAGGCAATCCAAGCCAGTGCCACCCATATCTAACCAAACTATCCTACAAAAGCGGACACCTATGGATCCGAAAAGGGGAGCGGCTCGGGCAGGCTCGTTCTTTTCGTCTCGTCCGAGAGCTCGCGCGGCCATAAACCCGCCAGACCTGCGGGAAAGGTTGGGCCTGACGGGGTGGGCTGCGTTCAGATGCGCAAGGCACATAGGTGTGTCCCTTTTTCGGCTGGAGGTACCTTTTTCAGGCTGGGATGTCAAGGGACAACGCTTTGGACCACCTGGTTTCCAGCTTGTCATCTTCTTCTTTAATTTGGGGAGGGGGGTCACACACACCCCATTTTGAGCCACATCCTGGACTCCGAGCACTCCTGAACATACTGTGGATGGACGAAATCCATTTCGCACCACCTAAGAAACCCTGGAATGATGATTCCCCCTGTAAAAACCAATGAAAATGGTTTCCCATGGTTTCCAAATGGTGCAGGATTTCGTCCATCCACAGTATGTGCAACTGCCCCAAGTGGTCAGAAAATGCAAAAGGGCCTGCCTTCTTTTTAAAGAGTACCACTGCTTAATGGGCTTGAAAGCGAAAACAAGAGGACAAATCACGGGTTCCCCCAAACAAAAAAGCCACACCCAAATGGGTGTGTCTCTTGATGAGGGGACTCTTTTCATCTAATTTCAAACAAAAGCCTTTTCTGGGGGCGGCCATAGCCAAAAGGAAAACTCGCATTTTGGAGGGTTCCTCTATTTGCGACAGGCCCAAATGACTTGGAAGAAAATCGGAACTTGGAAATCCGGGGTCGGCCGCATCCCAGCCTTCCCCCTGGCAACGTTCCACTTGGCCAGACCTCAGACACCAAAACTCGAGGTCATGGATCGAGCGGGTGGCATTCAATTCAGGCGCCCAACCAGAAACCTGACAAAACAAGCGTGGAATCTGACGGAGTCCTCTCCCAAGGTTTCGACATCTGAAGGACCCCTCCATGAGGTTTTCATGATTGGTTTTGGTGCGGCGCTATTTGCTTTCAAACCCACTTGCATCCGCCGGCCAAGTGAGCTTGACACATTGCAGCCTTGCACGTCCATCTCACTCACCCCGCGCCACGTTTTCCTCTGCCATATTCACCTGACGCCGTGCTCCTACGTGGCTACATTTTGCACAACGGTCCGCAAAAGCATCTCGAGCATCCGTGATCACAGAAGCTCGCCTCCTGCGCCTTATTGCCTTCCGGGCTGATATGTTCCAGGTTGCTTCATCCGGATCACCAGCTGTTCAAGGTCATACCCTGCCTTCTTACATGCTGAGCGGGTATCAAAGACCATTACCTACCCCAGATTCTGTTCAGGGGTCCCACTGTCAGCTCGTCTCTGCGTCCCACTGTCAACTCGTCTTTTGCTCTGACTGCTCGCGGAACTTCAACCGGAGTCGCTTCGCCTCATCTCCATCCGTGTTGGATGGCCGCCCGACGGAACCGGATCAAGACCTCCGTGCTCAATTCCAAAGCCATAGGGCGATGTTGCCCTTTGGTTCTGAACGGGTTCCTTTGGAAGTTGTGAAAAGAACCATCCTCAAACAAATGGCACACGATGACACGCCCATAGCTCAGTTTTCATGGGTTTGGAACCTCAGCTCGGGTGGCAAAAGACTTATCCCGCCCCACCCTCAGCGTTGCCAGAAACTGCCACACACGGATCTGGGTGAACCATGATAGTATGCACCAACCGTTTGCTTCCCTTCCAACAGTCATGCAAGCTCCCCTATGGTCGTGACATGTTTTATCTGAAAGTACCCCCTAACCCCATTCATGTGGGTCTGCAACTCTTCATTTTGGGTGATCGTTTTCGGAAATGGTCAAAAAGGAAACCACCATTTTGGAGGGGGCCAGGATTCACCATGTTGACCCTGATCAGCACCCTTAGGGGGGGTCCCTGCTGGCCAAGCACCTCTTTCGGCTGAGCTCGGGAAACATCGGGGAAAGGACATCTCTGGGCCTACCTGCCGGAAAATACCAACGCATTTGCCCCCCCCCCCACTTTTTGCAGGGCTAAGATCCTGAGCATTCCCCACACAAGTTAGTCTGGTGGAAAATGAAATGCATCCCTACAAAAGTTGTTGTAGTTTCCTTTTGGTGTGGAACAGGTGTGTCACATATTAACTAGGTCCTCCAGTAGAGAGGTTAGAATAAGGGTACCCTTTTCTCCGTAGTCTATTTTAGAGGGAGAACCCTCCCCCAAAACAGGGGAAAAGGGCACTGGGGGACCTAGTTAAAGTGTAAATGGCAACGAACTGATATTTTTCAATGAGCCGTGACCGGCTGAATCACCAGCCGTGCTCGAACCCGGTTCGCCGCCCCCGGCTCCCGGCGCCCTCAGAGGCGCTAGGGCGACTCCTGAGATGGTCGCGAGAAGCTCCCTACGAGTGTCTTGGGTGTGGCTCAAGTTTCAACAGCGGCAAACCGCAGATTTCCGATTTTCCTTTCTCCCATACAGGTGCCGTTGTGAGTTCCATGTTTTGAGCCACGGCCCAAAGTTATTTCCCCTGTTCAAGCGAGAAACATCATGCGATGGGCCGCAAGCTCGGTCCAACAGAAGCAACGTGGTTGCCCGTGCGCCCTCTCCACATATAACGTGCCCAAAACCCCCGCGCCTCCATGGAAGGCCCTCTGAAAAAGAGGGGAGGGAAACAAAAAATTCGAAGCCGCCCAAACGCAGATGCTCTCCTTTGCTTTGGGGGGAACCTCAACAAGCCATGGAAGCCCCCCTTCCCAGAAGCTCTGAACGGATTTCATCACTGGGGAGCAAGGAGACATATCAGGAAGCGCAAGCGATCCTAGGGGCACCCCCAAAAAGCGCTCATTTTATGGTAATGACGTTGAATTTGCGCCTGCCGCACATGAAAATCGCCCAGGCAGAGTTATTACCAGCCTAATTCCCAATTGCTTCTTTATTCCTGCCCAGCGAGAATTTACCCTACCAAACAATCACCTGGCACCTGCTATGAACCACTTGTTGATGTCTGTTCGGTGGGTAAAATTGTGGCTGGGGGGACATACTAAGCAGGCTTGCCAACCACTTGCCCCTGAAAGCCATCAACACGCCACGTGCAGAAGAACGGTTGCCTACGTGTGAAAACTAAAAGTTCGCTTGAGCTGCAAGTGGGACAGCACGGCGCCCAGCCCATTACCACACCTTTCTGAACTGAAAATCCTGAGGCCCTCCCTGCTTACACAACAGGCCACCAAGAAAATAACATAGCGATGGGAATTCTATAAAGGGGCCCTCTGAGTGGATGTGAACCATCCCTTCCTTTGCATTTGTCAGGGGATCAGGGCTGGGCCCATTCTTCAAACCTCCTTTGGTTTCCCCTTAACGTACCGGGGATCTTGCGCTAGCTTCCGATCAAGTGGACCAGCCAAGAAACGGTAAGCAACCTGTTTGTTTGCTACTAAATTGGTCAAAGCCCAAAAAGTGACCAAAGTCCAGAAGCTCAGGAACTGAGTGCGGCCCCTACCCATGCTCTGCTTTCTCCAAGTTTCTCGCTCAGCCCATGGCCGACTTCTTCTTCTCGAAAGCCGTGATGATGTGCTTCCCCGTGGGGGACTTCTTGAGATCATGCTCCACCGCCTCTAGGCGCCGCTGGGTCGTGCCGGCTTGGTTTCAACATGGGTATGTGACGTATGTGTCAACAAAAAATCGGCCTTCATGGGTCCTTCTGGTTTTTCACGGGCCGATCCCCCTCTTTTGGCGGAACCTCCTTGGTTAGCCTCCTTTTGGTTTGCCTTTGACACCAACCGGTTCCTCCCAAAGAAACCACAAAAAAAAAAAAAAAAAAAAAAAAACACTCACAGACCCCGCCGGGTTGGGATGGAGATTCGATCGGCGCCGGCGCCTCGATGCGTCGCCGGAGCTCCTCCCAGTCATCCCCGCGGCTGTGCTCGATGATGCGCTGCACCGTGTAGTTCCCGAACTTGTCCTCTCTCTTTTTTTGGGCTCTCGGTTTTGGGGTTTTTGTTGCCAAGTAAAACTTGAGCCCTGGCTTCCCTTTAAGAGGAATGTCAGTTTGCGGGGAGACAAGAGCCCCGCGAATAGGGAGGACCCCTTCATTGTTGTCTCTGTTCAGAGAAATGCCCCGTATTATTGTAAAGGATGCTTGTTTAAACAACCATATACCTTGGTGGAACCCCAAACCAGCCCAGTGCTCACTAGCCCAGCGCTCACTTGTGCAATTGTCAAATCCCAGAATTTGAAGCTATGCAGAAACATCCTGAAGCTTACCATCAAATCGCGGATTTTGAGACCCACAGGTGTCCGCATGTTGTTTGTTGGGGGGTGTCTTTGTTGAGGGTTTCCCCTTCTTTCAGATTTCTAGAGGTACCTGTTTGCTTGGCTGAGGCAACCAAAACGAAACCACCCATTTTAGGAGTCACCACATTTTCAGCGACACACCCGGACGCCGTGGATGCCGAATCCGCCCGCTAGCAAAAAGGAAACACAGAGGACCCAATGCACATTGTCTACCCTGTCATCGCTTGGCTCGGAGCAACCTTCCGCAGTCATCATTTCCCGTACCCTTCGAGGTTCTCCCCAATTCCCAGTTTCCATCAATTCGCAGAACAGAGGGGAGCAATTAACCGCCAACCCCCGCCCGACCCATCTGCCCGGCGCAAAGCGGACCCGGCCTTCATCAGCTGCGCGATGGGCGCTTTGGGGTCTGAGGCGCCCCCCAGCACCGCCTTCATCAACGCGGACCTGACGCTGGCCGGTTGGCCAGAGAAAAGCGCTGCTCGAGCAGCGTGATTTCTTTGCCCAGCGGGGTGCCAAACTTGCGGCAGGCAATCACACCACTTTGGGGGGCCAACCATACCTTCCATTTGGTTGAGACCCTGAGAAAAGATAGTCATATTTCCAGTAGTGATAAATTCCTTTTAACACCATAAAGGGGAAATACATAAAATATCATTAAACAAATATTCTTAAGCAAATGGAAGCTACCTGGTTCAAATTAAGATTGCTTTGAAAGCACCCCGGAAAGCAGCCGCAGGAGAAGGACACCCAGCCCCTTTTATACTGTGGGTGGTTGCGAAACGGATTTCGCACCACTGCAACAAAAACCATCGGAACCATAACGTTTGTTGGTATTTACAAGAGAATCATCATGCCAGGGATTCTGAACGGTGGTGCGAAATATGGATTTGGTCCACCCACAGTATGTCACTGTAAAGTGCCTTATGCGGGCTAAGGCAAACAATGGCTAGAATGACTACTGGACATGGGGTGCCATGGTTAACGGACAAGAATGCGTAGCTAAAATAAATTTACCCCCTAGAGGATTGCTTCGCCAATCCTCCAACCTCTCCGCGCCTTTCTTCCACCAGCGAGCCGGCATGGGGCCCCACCGTGGAGATCTCGAAGCATTTCTCCACCACGTTGCTGGACACCTCCCACCGAGGCGTGTGGGTTGGAAGCAACGGAAGCGATGTTCAAGGCAGGGGAGATATACATACAAAGGATTACGTGTGCACTTAGATGGGTGGGTTCCCTTGGTGTCTTCTTTAACAAACTGTCTGAAAGGGCGGCCCCCCACTAAAAAGACAGACACATACACACAACTCCCATGCCATTCGCCTTGCTCTTGGCATACTCCAGGACGCTGGAAGCAATAACCTGGCTTCGGCCCGGTCTGCGGTTCTCCGCGAAATGAAAGACAACACTCTCCTCAATCGCAATGCGCCCGTCGAGTGCTCAAGCCCAACTGGGTGTCAATCAAATAGAGGGTCGCCACAAGTTCTATTAGTCAGTGCCGGAAATTTACAGAATTGTGAAAACCATACAAAAGGAAACACATGGGAGAGGGAAATTACAAGCTCGCTGGGTCTTTAAAACAAAAGGCCGACGCTATTCAGCACCCAGAGCTTCTTTCTCACTCACAAGTCGTGGAGAACGGCCCTCCTTTTGACTACGCCATCATTTTGAAGGGGGCTCGTTCGGATATCACAGAACATGGCCACCGAAACACCCAGCCCACGTGCCGGTGGAACCCTTTTGGTGTTGACCATTGTCAGTAAAACACAGACCGGGATTCCCTAACGCCCAACGCCAGCATGCAAAATGCCGTCCCAATTCTAGCTGGGATGCGTATGCATGTACATAAGCAAAAATATTGCCCATTTCATCCAAAACGCTCAATTGGAAAAGAAAACGCTCAAATGGAAAATTGTTCTGGGGGTGTGTGTGTCCGCAAATGTCCACTCATTTCCCGCCGATGTCCGCTCGTTTTCTAGGAGAAAACTTGCCAAGTCATGCCAAATCAAGGTGTCCGCTCATTTTGCCTTTTTCCGCTCAAATTCTGAAACGAGCAAAAGGAATGCCCAGAGCCCCAAAACGGAAGACCCAAGTATCTATATATATATATATGTATGTGCGTGTGTCTGTTATATATATATATATTATATACACATACATACATATACTGACATCTGTATATATATATATATATATGTGTACATACTGCTTCCTGAATGTAATGTAACAAATAGAGTTAGAGGCTACATAGCTTCGGGCACCCCCCCCAGCACGACATCATGTCGCCGACCGGGCCCGCGCCTGGACGATCTTCCGCTTGTCCTCCTCCCGGCCCCTCTCCAGGATGCACTGGATGACGTAGTTGGCGTGGCTGTCCTGGTCAAAATAGGTAATTATCCACTCACTGGCTGAGTGGATGGCCCGGTAAAAGTAACCAAACTTTATATTTACCACTAAAATGGTCTTCCCAAAAAGCTTAAAGTTCATGAACTCAGGAAGTGAGTCCAAAATGGGTTGCCCTGAGAAATGGGTTGCCAAAGACGAAAACCTGCGGTCCATATCCTGGCGGGTTCATTTTGACCCATACCCTCCTGGCAAACAGAAGATGCTGAGCCCAAAAAGCCTCGGCATTCAGAAGTCGTCCATGAAGCCATCAGAAATGGTACCCTCATTGCATGAAGTTCACATGCTACATTGATAGTATATATTAGCCTACATAATCCTAGCTCCAAAACCAAATCCAAAAATGCCCCTTGATATGTAAAACCCAACAGCTCGAAGATTCGACGGTGTCCCGTTGCGACCACGTTCTTCCCACTGGCCAGTGAATCGCATGACCACCCCAAATATCAAGTGGGTGATCATTGCTCAGAAGTTCCCTATGCAGCACTCAGGGGACTTGCCCGCCGAGACGTTGCCGGGCAAGGCACTGCTCAACGATGAGGAAAACCAATTACCGCCAGTCAGGTGCCATGGCAACCTGGGTGAGATCCGGAATCACAACTCACATTTATGGCTCACTTGGAGGTTGATCAATCTTCGGCCCCCAAACGACCAAGCGATTCTTTCCCATGTGGGGCGCATCATCTTAGTGGCGTTCTGTTTTCCAACCAATTGTCCTCCCATGACCTTTCGATCAACCCCGACTTGGCGTTTGGCGCCGCCCAATCCCCGGCCACGCTTCTGTTTCCTGCCCCAAGCTGTCGACGGGGCGAGGTGAAACGGAACAAGTGACCCGCCGGAGCTCCTAGCCTTGGCACTTGGATGTTTGGTTGGCTGCAAGCATTCAGCTTTCTAGGTCCTCCAGTAGAGAGGGTAGAATAAGGGTAACTACCCTTTTTTCCTGTAGTCTATTTTAGTGGGGGAACCCTCCCCAAAACAAAAGGGGAAAGGGGCACTACTGGGGGACCTAGGCTTTGGTTGGATCGGTGGGTTCCGGCGGGTGAGGGAGGGGTTTGCCAACCCTCAGGTTCAAATCCCCAAACCAATCCAAACCACCAAGGGGTACCTGAAACATTGGCAGTCCGCAGACCGCAAACATGACTCTGTGGCACGTGTTGACTGCGCGGCTGGTTTCTACGTCTCCCGTTTTCAATCTTCGGCGCCGGGGGCCCGATCCGCGATCCGCGCTCTGAAAGGCGCCTTGGCATGGCCCATGCGGCCCTCCGGGACCGGTCATGGGGCCGAATGGAGCAATCAGCCCCGAGGTCTGGGTGGACACGCCCTCCATAGAAGTAGCGAACTAGCGGCGACCCATGAAAACAGGCGTCCCATGTTGGAGAATCCTTCACGCTTCAAAGGGAACACCAAAGCAACCATAAAGAAGCCATAAAAGAAATCATGTGTCTATTGAACGGACAAATATGGATAAATGAGTAGAATCACATTCAAACCAGTGCCATCCATTTTGAGCCAATCTGCCCTTAAAACGGCCACCTATGCTGGAAACATTGACCGGGGTCTATTGATCCGAGACATCCTCCGGCCAATGAGCCACCGGTCCCGGGTGAGTCACCCGGACTCGAATTTCGAGTGACCCCAGAGGGGTTCCTTATGTCCTTCCTACCTTTGCCCTCATGTTTTTTTGTTTTTTTTAGTGAAGTGATAGAAATGGATGATGACAATCCTTGGGTAAACAAATGCTAAGCAATGGTGGTATGAGCCCCCGTTGGTTTAATGGCTTCGGATGGGAGACAAAATCCGGTCCGCCCCGCCGGACCCGCTGGCCAGCTCATGGGGATCTGATCGCAGGAGCTCTTCCTGCGCTCCACGGAGCGCCGCGCCGCGCGCCTGCGAGCACGGGGAGTTGGGGGGAAGAGAACGTCATGTCGTGTGCGTGGTGTGTAAAAGAAAAAACACTGATTGATATATATATATACATGTATACATACAATATATATATATATACATAGATACAATATATATATATACATATAGATACAATATATATATATATACATATAGATATATATATATACATATATAAGCGGCCCGTTTGATACCAGCTATCAAAAGCGCATAAGGAGCGGCTATCCTGCTCAACTGGGTTCTTGCAAAATGGGGTCCCAGATCCCAGGGCTCAACCCGTAAGCGTGGTAAGACACCACAGGAAGAAGGGAAGTCGGTACCTTCGGGCATAAGGATCGCTTCTCAACAACCCAGCTCAATGCCTCACTTGAGATGCACTTGACTCAAAACCTCCCAGGGGAAACACCCAGAAACATACAAGATAGTACAGGCAGGCCCATATAAGGCAATCATGGGGCTGGGAGCAGTTCATGAAATCTTCCCAACGGAACTTGACACCCCACTAGCCCAAAAGGCCTGGAAAAAGGCTGAGTGGGACCTTGACGAATGGACCAAGCTAGGAGGTCAAACAGTAGGCTCGCAAGGGAGAACCAGGGCTCCAGTGGAGAAGCAACAATCGCTAATGCACCGGTGCTGGCTCATGACCAAAATGACTCGGCATGCTCGATCGCCCATTAGTTTTTGAGACCACCCAAACAAAATCATGATCTGCGCTCCTCTGAGGAAGCGGGCTACCGCGATGTGGTTGGCCGAATGTTGAACCAGCCGAGTGGTAGCTATCCCTCGTGCCGCTGCTTCTTTCCCTGTTTGAAGCATGGGGCTGCTTGTGACGCCCCTCTCCATTTGGACCTCCAGCGGACCCCAAGCCAGGTGTGTCAAGCTGTGGAGCCTGGGCACGGGGGCGAATTCATATCACTCGTGCAACTGTGAGAAGTCGGGCCAGGGCCTCGGGTTGTCATCTGTACATCCTTCTTTGCTGTTGTCGCAATGGTCTTTTGAAACGTATGGCGCATGCACGCGTCACGGGACTGGCTGCAAAGTCCTGCCCTCGGGTAGGAGTGCGGCGCCCATTGGCTCCTGGATAAGCTTTACAGAATCCAAGATCAGGCAGGAGTTGGGAAGTGCTGCGATAATCATACCCAAGAAAAGCGGAGCCCCGAGCCCGGCGAGCAACAGCATCCCAAGATTCATGAAACAGTCCAAGACCAAGAGCACGACCACCACAACGCGCAGCTTCCCACAGCTGACTGCCAGGAACCATTGGAGGTGAATCATCAGAAGTGTAGGCGGGAGCGTCAACACAACCATAATGATGTAGACGATGAACTCAATGAGCAATCCAGCAGCGTACTGGTTTCCGTCCTTCTGGAACTCAATCCAGACAGCAAACCCGAGGAATAGAGTGCAAGGAATCAACAGCATCCATAAGATGCTGAACCAGGCCTTGAGCAATGACACCTGCTCGAATCGTCTTCGTCCTGGCTCGGCTGTGAGACATCCGGGTGAAAAACGCGTCAGCTTCCCCACGAACTCACAGATTGAATCGCAGTACATCTGGCAACCGGACGCAGGGACCTGGCCATCCGGTGCCAGCTCGAAGCTTGCCATCACCCACGCTTGACGGGCACTGCGCGGTGGGGACTTGAGCGAGAAGACTCACGGAACAGCTTCCAAGCTCATGAGACATTCACTTGGTTGACGTTGGAAGGGGGGGAAACAAAAAAAACATATTTTAGCAGCTAAGTGGGGAGTTACCACTAAACCACAATAAGCAAAAATGCAAAATGCTTCCCAGCAACAACCATGTTCAACCGGTAGCAAACCGCTAGGAAAGGCTAGAATGTCACCTCTGCAGCTGTTGCTACAGATTCAAAGGGATCTGATTTTAAGTAAAACCTTCTACATGACCTCGGTTCGGCAACTCCTTTGCGAACCTCGCCGAATTTTCTGAGAAACGCCGCCAGCTTGGCAGGTGTGGTGATGGCGATTTCTCACAAGCGTCCCTCTCCACTTGATCTATGTTCAAGCTTACACTCTCCTGCAGATTGACATAACACACCCATTTGTAGAGGAATCTCCCTTTTTGGGTTCCATGTTAAAGCGCCCTTGTGAGACGAATTGACTCTGGTCAATGCAACAGGTCCAGAGGACAAGTGATGATCAGACCCGATGGAAAACCGTTCAAGCCTACGCGCAGGATTTTGAAGTCTTAAAGTTTTGGATGGAAAGTGCTACAAACAAACATGGATGTGGGGAGAGGAAACTCCTTTGGATGGCTTGAATGGGAAATCAAAAAGAACCCAAAGGCATACAAAAAGCGGCAGGATTCAGGCTGAAACTGGCAAAACCTATTTCTTAAACAAAGACGCACACCAGCGTTCGCGAACCGCCAGGCAACTCGAACCAGGACACCTCAGTCTTGTGGCCCTACCTCGACTTCCTCCATCCTTTTTCCAAAAAAGAAAACACACACACACACAAAACTTGCGCCTCATCCGGTGGCCATCTGCTCCACTCCGCTCGGCCCGGTGCTCTGCATCTCCCGGGCCGCGGCAGCTCCGCCGGAGCTTCCGGAGCCGCCGGAAGCTCCGCCCGGGCCGAAGGGACCGTTGAAGGCGGAGCCGGTGAAGGAGCCGCCCATGCCTCAGGCCCGAAGTTGGGTCGCAGCTTTTTGAGCAAAAAACATCCCCAGGGGGCCGGAAGAAACCAGTGATGTGGAGGAATTATCTTCAATTGGCATTGGTTGCTGCTGCCGAGCCCTCTGCAAGGAGTTCAGACTTGTGTGAGTCCAAGTCGGGGCATGAAGTTATCGTTTTCTTCAGCTGGAGGTAAAACCACAAAGTCCAGTGTGGTAGATCCTAACTTTTCTCAGCCAGGTTTCAAGACACCACCATTTATCATCTCCGCCCAAGCCCCTGGACTGTTCTTCTGGGTTTCCTCAAGCCGGTTTCATTTGGCCAATCACGTGACCCCGCCCTCAAGGCCTCAATCAACGGCCTCGAAGGCCTTAGGATCGGCACGGAAGAATGAGCTAAGCCTAGCCAAACGGCCCCTTCTTGGGGACGGTG